ATAAATGAAAGATCCTGGTGGCTCGGCCTTTTATAGGTCCGGAACCATTTAAACTCGATTCGAATCTAACTAAAAATAATCAAGTTAGGTGGTCTGTGGAGGTTGAATAGGCATAGAGCTAGTTGGAGAGAGTATCCGTGTCATGGGTAGCTGTGGCAATGGATAAAAACATGAAGACGTCAAGTATGTCAAGAAAATAAACAAAAATTACGACTAAAAATAAATAATATCCTAAGATAATATCAGAGAAAAAGTAATGAAAATAAATAAATAACAGAATAAAGAGAAATGCCGGTAAGTGTCCAGCACTCTGGAATAGTGATTTTCGGTACAGATGGAATTATTATACGTATTTACAAAATGATGAATAGTGCATGATATTTTTGAAATTGTGCGTTTACAGGAATTTATAATAGAATATGTATTTATGCCTAATGAATAACTATGATGTTAGATGACAAAATATGGGAAATGGAACCTATGATTGTCGAAAGGAAGGATCGTCCCTGAGGTACGTTACAGGACCTATTTGAGATGCACATCAACGCTCACCTTCTTCTTCACTGCTCGAGTTGCCCGCTCTTCTTAGCCAAATTTAATAGGAGCCTGGTTAGTGCATCCTAAGTTACTCGTTCTAAGATTGAACTGTACAGTTCTCGACAGGCCATAGGTCTTTTAGAAGGTTACAAGAAGATTTTGCTGGTAAACCACTCGCTCCTCCGGGTACCGGTACCGGGACTCTACAGAAGTCCTGGGGCGGCAGGCTGCGAGGTGCGGGTACGGTGCATATGAGGCCATGAGAACCATAGTGTCCTAACTCATTTTTTTACAATATTGAGTTTATGATTTTTTCCAGTTCAAATTGGCCAGTTTGATAGAACCAGAGTGGTCTAAAAGTGATACAGGGAATATTCACTAGTTGGCAGCATAATCACTGTTACGGTTTTTAATCTAAATTTGTGGTGCCATACTGGCCTAAGTAAGAAAAAACGAGTTAGGCTACTATGGTTCTTATGGCCTCACATATAAAAGCAATCGTTATTAGAATTACTTATTCTGGGGGGAGGGAGAGATGCCAATCGAACTAATGATGGCTAATTTATGACCTGACTAGGTACAATGAAAGATAAATATTAACATAGACATACAAAAAGTAGGTGCATAATGATTCTTACTGAAAAATAATACGACAAAACAACCTTATTTCATTATTAATTTATACGAGATGTAAGCAACAATTCAACCTTGTCTCTATAGCTATGACATTGCACATCGCGTCCAAACAATAACTTCTTCAAAAGGAAAAAATGAATGAGGATAACAGTCTTTATTGCATTAAGTATTAAACAACACAGGAAAATATGTAGTAAAAATTCGACGAGATATCTTTTCTGTTTAAAAAAACTCGATGACGCAGTGACGTGCGTGTTTGGGCAACTCGCGGTGGCCTCTCACAGGATGGGTGATAAAAGAATCATTACTCGGGCTCAGAGGCGGCGTAAGGCGTGGGCGACGTGGGCCACCGCCTATGGCCTCGCGGTACAAGGGGCCTCGCGTCTCAAAAATTTTTCTGCATTGTTTAAAAGCGAATTTCTTCTTTTTTATTATTTTATAAAATCCGTCTTCAGGTCGCCACAGAACGAGGCCTCGCGAAATCTGTCTTGCCCACATCAAATTTAAGTCTTGCCCCGCCACTGCGTTCACAGGATGGGTGATAAAAGAATCATTACAAGGGGTTTTCCGTACTTCGGAAAGCTATTAAAGCTCGCAGCTGCTTCTGACTTTCCACCTCCAGAACCTGGAGAAACTTCCACCTGGAGAAGTAACCTTCACCTCACTTCTGGTACTAATGAAATGAAATGAAAAGTCATTTATTCATTCAAAACTATGGCGGGAGACTTTGTTCTGAGAAGAACCGGCAAGAAACTCAGCAAGGGCTGTTTTTTTCTCTCTGTATTTGTTATATACAGAGTCGTCAAGTTGAAATATGACTTCAGAGATATGTCTGAAGTCACCTTCCATTACCTCATTTAGAATATAAATATATAGTTGCAATAAATTTTATAGTTAACATTATATTTAGCATATAGGAAGCGGCATTAGATAGGTACAATATTACTATTATGAAAAATGACTAATACCCATTAAATAACAAATTATAAGAAAAATTATGTCCATGCATTACTATCATTTAGATAATCATCAACTTTATAACATAGCCCTTATTCATAAGAGTATTTTTGATCTGAGATTTAAATTTAGTCAGTGGAAGCTCAATCAGATCTAGGGGAACTTTATTAAACAATGCAATATTACAACCCAGAAATGAACCTCTTGATTTTTGGAGTCTGAAACATGGAACGGCAAGCTTGTTCTTAAATCTCGAATTAATAATGAAATAACCCTCGTTCGTTCCCGTTTCTTTTTCATGCGTACCAGAAAGATCTGAAGCGAACTTCCCTCAGCGGATTTCCCTCTTAGCTATTGATATGAAGGTCCTCAAAACCTTTTCCTTCAGAGCCGGCTACGCATGAGAAGTGGGTACCCTTGCTGCTGCAAGTGTCAATGGGCAGCAGTGGCAACTTACCGTCTGGTGGACTGCCAGCTAGTTTGCTTGCATAAACATAAAAAACAGCGGGTGTACAGAGTACGCATGTCAGAAGTGAAACGAACTTTCTTAATAATAGTCATGAAAATATAAATAAATAATAAATAAATATTTCCAACACTCACACCAATTAGCCTAGCCCCAAAGTGAGCACTGTAAGGCTTGCGTTATGGGATACTAGGGTAACGGATAGAATACATATATAAGTATATTTATAAAGAAATACATATTAAACACCCATGACTGGGGTACAAATGCTCGTATTCATCACACAAACATCTGCCCCCACCGGGATTTGAACCCGGGACCTCTCGAGTCGGCGACACCATAAAACCTGGCGTATAAACCACTCGGCCACGGAGGTCATTTATTATGTAATTACATAATTTAAAAAACGTAAAACTTGAACAAAAGTAATCTGATATTTCGTTAGAATAGGTACGTACATATATATAGGTACGTTCATACATCTACATCGCGGTATCATTAGGTATAAGGGCCTTGATATATACGTACAAAGTTTTGAATGTGCTTGTTTATAGAGGGACTTCATAATAAGTATATAGCGTGCTTAGTATTAAGCGAGGAGTTCGATGGCGCCGGTGGTTAGCGCGTTCGGCTGCGATCGTTGAATTTAAGCAACTATCGCAGTGGTCGGTCATTGGATGGGTGACCAAGAATCTTCTATCTCGAGTTCCTCCGTGCTTCGGAAGGCACGTTAAGCCGTTGGTCCCGGCTGCATCTGCAGTTGTTAGCACCCGCCAACCCGCACTGGGCCCACGTGGTGGGTCATGGCCCAATCTCCCTATTCCATCCATATAGGAAAGGCCTGGTGCCCCAGCAGTGGGGACATTCATAGGCTGATGATGATGATATAGCGTACTTATCATCTTTCTCACTAGTTTGTTTACATCTATACATTTTTTTATATTTAAAATCGTCGCACTAAAATCTAATGCTCAAATCGTGACGCGGCCATGAAAAGTTACTCTTATCGCGCGCAAAGAAGTTTCACTACTTGGTGATGTTGTGTTTCTGTCGGTCAGTAAGTATGGTACCGGGACTCTACGGAAGTCCTGGGGCGGCAGGCTGCGAGGTGCGGGTACGGTGCATATGAGGCCATGAGAACCATAGTGGCCTAACTCATTTTTTTACAATATTGAGTTTATGATTTTTTCCAGTTCAAATTGGCCAGTTTGATAGAACCAGAGTGGTCTAAAAGTGATACAAGGAATATTCACTAGATGGCAGCATAATCACTGTTACGGTTTTTAGTCTGTGATCTAAATTTGTGGTGACGTACTGGCCTAAGTAAGAAAAAACGAGTTAGGCTACTATGGTTCTTATGGCCTCATATATAAAAGCAATCGTTATTAGAATTACTTATTCTGGGGGGGAGGGAGAGATGCAAATCGAACTGATAATGATTATAGGTATATGATTTTAGGTAGGCAAATGACTCTACACCATCTGATGTTAAGTGGTGGTAAAGTCCAAACGCGAAGTTAGCTGGTTGTTTGATTGATATTTGAATTGATTTGTTCGCCCTTTTCTATTAAGTGTAAATTCATACGTAAAAAGGGAACGACATTTAACTAATTCCCACAGTCACGAAAAAGTTAGCAGCTGTTGTATTCTGATTTCCTTTTATTTGTATAGCTTCTAGTCCAACATGACAGATCATCACAACACATTAAACAATACCTGATAATAAATTAATGTCTTGAATCGTCGAAACAAAAAAAAACACTTAACAACAACAACTCACAATAAATTGACATTCTAAAGTCAAAATATCTCAAGAGTTTGAAGAGTAGACATCGAACTCAAAACTTCTCAGATAACGTCAAAGAAGACTGTCTGCCATCGATAAATAAATGTTCCACTTTATAAACTAAAACCTGTCTTTTGTCATCTCATCTCAAGTGCTGATAAACAGTCATTGGTAGCTTTCCAATTACAGCGTTATAGCGCATTATGCGGCATAATGCTTAACGATGAGTGTTTCAACTACAGCAACGCTTCGCACAATCGAGCACTCTCAAAAGTAATGCTTTCGTGTGATGTGTGCAATCGTACCAACTCAGAGACAGAAAATTAACAAGTGTTTTTTCTTTAAGTTGGCATTGATCGAAATGTTTTATTTATATGTTATCGTTAGTAATATCATTTATTGTTGAAAAATTATTAAAACTTTCGTTTCATTATAGTTTTTTTTAAATAATCAAAGTTAATTCAAACTGTGTTAAAAAATTAAATATAAATATGGATGAAGGTACAAACATTGACTTTTTTTTCAACACTGAACTTAGCGCACTCTGCTGGTGCATTTGAAAACTAATACACGTTCCAATTAAGCATCAGCATAATTCGGCATTGTGCGCCACTGAGTCGCATTATGCTCTGTAATTGGAAAACCACCTTTGTAACCGAATTAATATTCCTAATGGATGGACAGAGAGTTTGACACAGATAAGCCAACCTTCATTGAAATCAAAGCGATTCAGTAGCATCTGTGTTTTTGCGCGAACTACACGCTTGATGCTTAAACCTGCTTATACCTTTTTTTTATAAAAAGTTACACCCAATCTACAAATTCAATGAACAGTGACAATTAACCGAAATATTTGAAACAACAACTACAAATATTTCATCAAGAAAACAACTTGTTTATTAATAGATTATATTTTCTATTTATAATTAAAATGTAATAAGGTGTTGTGACTTATCGATAGTTGAAAACAGTTTGTTTACTAAAAATGGCTGAAGTGAATAAAAGTTATGTTCAAAGTGAGACTGATGTCGAAATGTACTCCGTGGGTGATAAGATTAAGGGAGTCCCTAAAGCCTATGGGTATGAAGAAGCTCTGGATTTAACTGGTTAGTTTAACAATTTAAATGTATAAATCTAAAGAATATATAACTAGAAAAAATTCCACGCGAACCAGGCAGCAGACGGGACTCGAACCCGCACCCTTCGCAATCCGGGCGAATGCACTGACCAATTGTGCTACCGCGTCCCTCACGGACCGAGTCGAAATTCTTCTAGCCATTCTTCTGCCTGGTCCGCGTGGAATTTTTTCTAGTTATATTTTCTTTAGATTTAAACATCAAGCAATTACATGCTTTAAAATAATAAAAAATGTAACTATAATTGCTATTTCTTCTTTCAAATGTTTAATACTTGTAAAAGTATTCATTTGACATTCTGGGTTACCTATAATGCGAAGAGATGGCGCTGTCTTGCAGCCTAAGAATGGCTAGAATAATTTCGACGCGGTCCGTGAGGGCCGTGGTAGCATAATTGGTCAGTGGATTCACCCGGATTGCGAAGGGTGCGGGTTCGAGTCCCGTCTGCTGCCTGGTCCGCGTAGATTTTTTTCTACTTATATTTTCTTTAGATTTAAACATCAAGCAGTTACATGCTTTAAAATAGTAAAAAATATAATTTAAATGTACCTATAACTAACATAGGCATTACAGTTAATTTTTAAGTCAAATATAAGGTGGGGAGAAGGCATTCTATATTCTTTCTATTACTACGTTTCCAAATATCACGAGTGACTTAAGTGTTTCAGATCATACTTAACCATCAAATTCAATGAGCTCCTATAATTTACTTTAGGTGATATAGGCATTGATGGTCTCTGTTATTTATTTGTCATCATCTATTTATCCTCTGCTGGGGCACAGATCTTCCCCGTGGCCGTGGACGGGCATCGACAATAATATCAAGTCTTTGTGAAAATCGCATAACTTTTACGCACGCGGAACAAACGGGCTATTGCTCCATTGACCTCCTAATAAGATCATCATACTTCACATCATCATCACTTCGAAAGAAAATTAATATTTAAATCTAAAGCAAACGTTATAACAAAAAAATCTATGCGGACCAGGCAGCAGACGGGACTCGAACCCTTCGCAATCCATCCGAATGCTCTGACCATTATGCTACCGCGGCCCTTTTCTAACCATCATCAGCCTATTAATGTCCCCACTGCTGGGGTACAGGCCTTCCCTATGGATGGAATAGGGAGATTGTGCCATGACCCACCACGCGGGCCCAGTGCGGATTGTCGGGTGCTAACGACTGCAGATGCAGCCGGAACCAACGGCTTAACGTGCCTTCCGAAGCACGGAGGAACTCGACATAGAAGATTTTTGGTCACCAATCCAATGACCGACCACTGCGAAAGTTGCTTAACTTCAACGTTTGCAGCCGAACGCGCTAACCACTTGCGCCATCGAGCTCCTCGACAATAAGATAAATAGTTACATACATACATTTATTTATACTAATTTATTTAAGCAAAAATTTATGTGATGAACTGAAAGAAATTCCTAATCGTTTTTGAGACATAGTTGTTTAAATAATTTTCGTTTTGCATTGTTGGCGTTGTATAGTCTCTATAGTACCTACAAGCTCTGCCGACTTTGTGACTAAAGAGTTGTTGTGAGATGAATGCAAAATGTCTGTGTTGAACAAATTCATTTCAATGTTATTGTTTGGAGTTCACCGTAGATAATAACGTGATATAAATGACATTCAAACGACAGGCATTGAAAAGAAAATATTTATCTATATCAACATAGTAGGTACATTGTTAAGTATTCGAATCCCGGTGGGAGCAGATGTTTGTGTGATGAATACGAGCATTTGTACTCCAGTCATGGATGTTTAATATGTATTTCTATATAAATTTACTTATGTATGGTATATGTATTCTATCCGTTACCTTAGCATCCCATAACACAAGCTTTACAGTGCTTACTTTGGGGCTAGGCTAATTGGTGTGTGTTGTAATTTTTTTTTATTTATTATCATAAGCAAATCTTATAAAATAAAAATTAGTTCTTTTTGTTTACAAACTAGCTTTTACGAGCGCAGCTCACTCTCAATCAAATTTCGTAATAAGTTCGACAAAGTGGACTACTTTGGCCGTTAACTTATATCAAACTTTTAGAGACAAAATAAGGCAAAATTTTGAGAGACAAGATTAGACAAAAACCTTTGAAAGCCGACAGTACGAGTGGGAGTTGCGCACGAAGGGTTACGTACCTTACAACATTACACATTATCTATACTTATAATAAATCTGTAGAGAGGTCAATTCTGTACATGAAATATATTTTCAAAATAACTATCAGGGGGTGATTAGTGATCGATACTGATGCCAAAAATGCAATCGGTAAAATTTTTGTCTGTCTGTCTGTGTGTATGTTCCTTATAGAAACAAAAACTACTCGACGGATTTTAACGAAACTTGGTACAATTATTCTTCATACTCCTGGGCAGGTTATAGTATACTTTTCATCACGCTACAGTAAATAGGAGCAGAGTAGTGAAGGGAAATGTTGGGAAAACGGGAGAAGTTACTCCATTTTTTTAGCTTCCGTTGCGTGTGCAGCCTTAATGGTTAAAGTTACATAGAAATCATGTATGACGGAAATATTCTACATAGAATTTTTTAAAAAATATCCCGCAACAGCATATGTCTATCTTTTATGGTTGACTCACAATAACACGTGTAATTATATAAATAAAGTCATTGTTTATAGCAGCACAAGCCTGAGAACAAAAACTATAGTTTACTCTAAGCGAAGCGAGGGCGGGCCACTAGTACTTAATATAATATCGAACAAAAATCTGTTTAATCGATTTTTTTGTCAAACGAATTGTATAAAATAATTGTAAATGCTGAATATGTAAAACTAGTAAAATAAAATTAAATCTATAACCTCCAACTAAAAGTTTTAAAGAATATTGTATCAGGTAAAATTCGACGAAAATGTCATAATGGCGATATTAGTATTTTTAAACATTGCCGTGTCTTGCCTGTTTTTATTTAGTTTAAATACATTTTTATTAATAAATAAATAAATATTTCCAACACAGACACCAATTAGCCTAGCCCCAAAGTAAGCACTATAAGACTTGTGTTATGGGATACTAGGGTAGAGGAGAGAATACATATACTTTACACATATAAGTATATTTTTATAGAAATACATATTAAACATCCATGACTGGAGTACAAATGCTCGTGTTCATCACACAAACATCTGCCCCCACCGGGATTTGAACCCGTGACCTCTCGCGCCAGCGACACCATGAAACCCGGCGTACAAACCACTCGGCCACGGAGGTCGTCATTAAAATTCAATTCTTTAACGATGATCTTAAAAAGGTAATAAATCATCCCGTGTATACGCGCGCAGTGGCTATGAACCAGTTGCAGACGAGTCGCGCATGTAACGTATACGGCAAAAAAACTGCCACCTACCTACTTCCGAGATTTATCAATGAATAACCGCCGAAATTACGGGTCACTCTAACAAACGGTAATATTAAAAATAAATTCAAAGAATACCTAAATAAAACTAGTTTTAACGGGTTAATGCACGAACTTTATTTATTTATTGACGTTTGAAAAATGATAAGTGAGAGAGATGGATGAGTGATGTACGTGAAATCCTAAGAAACAAATATAAAAGAATACTTTTTAAACAATTTATAAAAATATATTTCCTTAATTACTTATACAATGTACTTATCCAGGCCCAATATATCCTAGACGCGGAAGAATCCTTAAACGGGGATACCCCGGCTTCGCGCTAAGCAGCTTAGAGGGAATTCGCAGGGTTTTTAAGGGTATATTATGCCGTAAAGCGCCCGTAAGAGTTACGGGGTCCTCAGTGGATAGCCACTGCTGGGGCTTGTAAGTCTGTCAACAGAATTTTTAGCCGGCGTATAAAAAAAAGACCAATATATCTTGTCTATTTTAAATGTGCATTCATACAATTTTTTTATTAATGTGATAAAGTAACTCCGTTATCAATTTAAATATTGTCGTGCAGGCATACATCGCATAAATTCAAACCTCTGTGGTTTTATGATGCGATTGATCACAACATTATAATTGTATTTCTTTGAAACTGGTAATAATAATAATAAAAAAATGGGTGCGTGTACTTATGTAGGCGCGTGAGAAGTTATCCTTCTTTGGCATCGTTTAAAATTAGTTTTTAATTGCATGCAAATAATTAATTACAATAAATAATAAAAAGTCTGGAAAAGGACACAGTCAATAAAGTTCAGTTTTAATTTGAAAAAATAAATAAATAATCAAAATATTCAATTAAAATCGCTACTGAATATAATTTATTAGAACATATGATGATTTGCACTTGTATGAAACTCAAACACGTATTCCGAATATACAAACTAGAAACATGTGGATAAATATTATAAATATGAATATCTATAACTGTTACTTTATTACAAAAAATAAATATGTGGTTTTTGGTTCTAATACACCAATGGTCAAGAGATGGCGCTGTAGTCTCCTGAATCTCGCTTTGGTTCCGTTGTTCCAGATTAATAAATACTTTTGATATTATAAATATGAATACCTATAACTGTTACTTTATTACAAAAAATAAAGATGTGGTTTGTGGTTCTACTACACCAATGGTCAAGAGATGGCGCTGTAGTCTCCTGAATCGCGCTTTGGTTCCGTTGTTCCAGATTAATAAATACTTTTGATAGGCCTTCACAATGCAGTCGTTAGCACCCACTAAATAGAGATTCTATTTCTATTTTGTTGGTAGATTTTCTTAATGTGCGGTAAACACAAAAGTAACGCATGAAGTTGGTCGCTAAAGCGACCAACTTCATGCTGTTAAAATTTTGTGTTACAGTGATGCGCGCGCATCTTAAAATTTCACTCTCATATTTTTTTCATAACGCGCCTAAAGAAGTATAACTTCAAAAAGAAGTTAAAAAATAGGTGTATTGAAAAGTTGTCAAATGCCATTCAATACGTAAATATGTAATGGAGTTTTATTGAAATGAAATGAAGTGAAATGAAAAGTCATTTATTCAGTCTAGGCTGTTACAAGCACTTGTGAAGGTCAGAAGCTACGCCATCGGTTCGCAAAACTACGGCGGGAGACCTTGTACTGAGAAGAACCGGCAAGAAACTCAGCAAGGGCTGCTTCTTTCTCGCTGTATTGATATATACAGAGTCGCCAAGTTGAAAAATGACTTCAGAGATACTTCTGAAGTCACCTACCATTAGATCATTTAGGATCATTGATGATTTAGATTCCCCTTCGATTCCTTACGAATGTAACTGCCATTGGTGCATATGGCGAGACTTTGTGATTATGTAAGTTTAATAAGTGCAATACAGATATAAGTTAGACAGTTAAATCTTTAAATTCAGTGAATAAATAAAATATTTTCTTCAATTGTATTCGTATGTAACGGCCTGAAATACTTACTTAAAATATATAAATGGAGAAAGAACAATCTATTGCTACAAAATGTAATTTCTCGTCTCCGGTTGGTGTCGCTGAATATGGGTAATCAGTGATCATATTTATCTCATATTTAGGTCAGTGACATTTTTAGATGCTTATCAATAGATAAGCACCTAAAACAAATGAAATAAATAAAGCTCTCGATACGAAAATAATTCTTATGCTATCACTGACAAAATCATTAATCAGGCCAGCATTGTTTAGATATTTTTCAATACCAGTTTATACCTTTAAAACAGTCAGATAAAACTTCACTTGCATTGCTATCACAAACACATGTTTAGAGTGTTTTGTGATACCTACCATAATAATCATAATCAAAATCATTTATTCACTTTAGGCTGTTACAAGCACTCATGAATGTCTAGAAGCTACGCCATCGGTTCGTAAATCTACGGCGGGAGACCTTGTACTGAGAAGAACCGGCAAGAAACTCAGCAAGGGCTGTTTTTTCTCCCTGTTTTATCATTTACAGAGTCGTCAAGTTGAAAAATGACTTCAGAGATGATTCATGAAGGCACCTTTCATTACATAATGTGAAATTAAACATTAACTGTTCACCTGCATTTTGATTGCTGTGTCACACAGTATAAATACAAATGTTTTAAAACAGTTTCAGTTAAAGGAATAAGACAAAATGTTATTTTGCACATACGACCTTTTATCTTATAAAACGAACTCTTGTTCCTTTTATACATTTTAACTGATACCTGGAAAAAAACGATAAAGGTGAAAAAAATTAAAATGTGAAATCAACCTTATGACCCACCAAATAAAATATTTTTACCAGTCATTGGCCAGCGAGTTACATCGTTTTGTATTAACCGAACTAATTAAAAAATTTCACGCCTCAAGTTGATTGAGGCTATATTTACCGAGACGGATTTTACGCGCTGAACCGTTATCTATAGAATTGTTGATCGAAGGCTATAGCCCACTTCTGCAATATATGTGACACGTGAACTGTGTTAAAGCCAATTTCCACAATACATCATCATCATCATCAGCCTATTAATGTCCCCACTGCTGGGGCACAGGCCTTCCCTATGAATGGAATAGGGAGATTGGGCCATGACCCACCACGCGGGCCCAGTGCGGATTGGTGGGTGCTAACGACTGCATCTGCAGCCGGGACCAACGGCTTAACGTGCCTTCCGAAGCACGGAGGAGCTCGAGATAGTAAATTTTTGGTCACCCATCCAATGACCGACCACTGCGAAAGTTGCTTAACTTCAACGACCGCAGCCGAACGCGCTAACCACTTGCGCCATCGAGCTCCTCGATACATGTGATACGTTAACTGCACTACAGCCAACTTCTTATTATTTATGGTACATTTCCAGGACACGGCAGATACAACATCGGCCTATTGCTGGCCTGCTTCATGCTGATCACGGCGATGGGTATCGACATCTTCGGGCTGGGCATCATCGTGACGGCTGCCACCTGCGACCTGTCCCTCACGCTGCAGCAGATCGGGGTGCTGTCCTCTATGCCCTTCGCTGGTAGGTGGCACTTGTTAAGGCATAAGGAAGCATCACTTATTGTTAGTAAATTCGTTGATTGTCTATTGTTACATATTTGACATTATGTGATGGAAGTTGACCTCAACACATGTTTGCAAGTATGATGTCAACTTTCAATTGGACGACACTGTATGAAATAACACAGGGAGAAAAAATCAGCCCTTGCTGAGTTTCTTGCCGGTTCTTCTCAGTACAAGGTCTCCCGCCGTAGATTTGCGAACCGATGGCGTAGCTTTTCGACATTCACAAGTGCTTGTAACAGCCTAGACTGAATAAACGATATTGAATTTTGAAGAACATAGGATGAGGGAGGCACGGTAGATACAACATCGGCATGCTGGTGACCTGCTACATGTTGATCACGGCGATTGGCATCTTCCGGCTGGGCATATTTTTATTATAGATAGGTCTGACAAATTACGCCACCCCACCTGTTGTTAAGTAGCGGTGAAGTCCAGATGTAAGTCCAGATCATCGTGACGGCAGCCACCTGCGACTTGTCCCTCACGCTGCAGCAGATCGGGGTGCTGTCCTCTATGCCCATCGCTGGTAGGTGGCACTTGTTAGGTATAAGGAAGAACATAGGATGAGGGAGGCACGGTAGATACAACATCGGCATGGCGATGACCTGCTTCATGCTGATCACGGCGATTGGCATCTTCCGGCTGGGCATATTTTTTTTTATAGATAAGTCTGACAAATTACGCCACCCCACCTGATGTTAAGTGGCGGTAAAGTCCAGATCATCGTGACGGCAGCCACCTGCGAATTTTCCCTCACGCTGCTGCAGATCGGGGTGCTGTCCCCTATGCCCTTCACTGGTAGGTGGGAAATGATAATACGTAGATAGGACCTTAGGAAACTATTCTTCTTTTAGTTTCTTACTCTGACTAAAGTACGTGATCGTTGAAACTACCATCCATCCATATTAATATTAAGAAAACGAAAATGTGTCTGTCTGTCTGTTACTTCCTCAAGCTTAAACCGCTTAATCAAATTAGCTGAAATTGTGTACAAATATAGGTCGAATCCTGGGAAAGAACGAAGATAGTTTATATCCCAGGATTGATCCTTTATAGGAGTGAAAAGGGGGGAAGGATGTATGTATGGGAAATCAATTGAACCACGCAGATGAAGTCGCAGGCACTCAACTTACTATATTTTTCGTTTGTTTCAAACAAGTAAATATGATTTTGAATTGACTGATCTTCACCTAAAGTGAAGTTCAAGCATTTTGCCCTAAACAGTCATGAAAGTATGCTTTTCGTCGGGTATTCTATCTGATCGGTCTCCAATAGTCATATTAAAAGCAATCGTTACTTTCATGTTTAAAAATATAAAATAATGAAGTCTCAATTGTTCTCATTTCCAGGCATTATAGTGATGTCATACCCGTGGGGCTACCTGTCTGACACCCGCGGCCGCAAGCTGGTGCTGATGTGGGCCATGTGCGGCAGCTTCGTGAGCGCACTGCTCAGCAGCCTGGCGCCAACCTGGCAGGCATTGGCGGCGCTGCGGTTCATAGGATCTGCACTGTAGGTCGCTGTTGATAATGATTTGTTCTTCTTCGGCGCTACACTCTTGATGGAGTGGTCGTGGTCGTCACAACAGGGTTGGTGGCGCGCTTCACAATACTCCTCTCTTCCTCACTCACTGCGACCTTTTTCATGCACTGTGGTGTTTTTATCTGACTCATTATCAAGAGATTATTTACCCTTAGGCCAAGAGCGCTATGGTTCGGGGTACCAGGCCTCGAAGGGCAGCTGCAAGAGCTACGAGGGGCGGCAAAAGCCATAAAAAGGCATTCGTTACTGACTGTTTGGGATTGGATCCAATTCTATGCAAAACGGAACGTAAATGCCACCACCAATTCATGACTCCTTAGGTCACCAATCCGTATGGTGTTACATGGTGGGATAATTAAAATCAATGCTGCCATTGATCGCAAAATATTGTCCCCAACCCCTCTCCCTCTAATATTGTAACTACCATTTTTATGCAATAGCACATGCCATTAGAATTTCAAAGGTATCACGTCTTTTATTCCATCAGTCCAAAATCTAATCGCAAAGTTCTTTAGCTAATCCAGGACCATACAAAACCAAGTACCGGTGGTCGCTATCCGGCATACTGACCTAGATTTTGATTTGACTTACTAATTATTAGGGTGAGGGGGTGCAAATCCGCAATAGTCCCTATACCTAGTCGCTCGTTTTAAAATATGCCCCTGCTTGTTATAATGCTTTACCGAGCTTTGTGAGCACCGTGCTCAGAAGCCATGCGCCTAACTGGCAGGCACTAGCGGCGCTGAAGTTTATAGGATCCGCGCTGTACGTCACTGGTATTAATGAATTGTTATAATGCTTTATCCAGCTTCATGAGCGCCGTACTCAGAAGCCTGGCTTCAACCTGGCAGGCATTGGCATCGCTGTGGTTCATAGGATCCGCGCTGTACGTCACTGGTGATAATGACTTGTTGTAATGCAAAAGCCAGCTGTGTGAGCGCGCTGCTCAGCAGCCTGGAGCCAACTTGGCAGGCACTAGCGGCACTGTGGGTCACACGATCGGTGCTGATAATGACTTTTTATAATGAAAAAAGAATTGATGTGGTGTCGTGGGACACCAGGTAGGAACGAAGTTCCTTCGGCTAATGTAGAATCGACACAAATTGCAAACTCGCTTGTGTATACGACTGTCGCGCCTGTGCACGTCTCATTTAACGGTTTCATTCCACGCACTTTTTTCCACGGATTTTTTCTTACGGTTTTACTATCACATTTTTTTCAGTTCGGTCGCGCAGCAAAATCCCTATCCCCTCCAAGCCTGCCGTAAGGAACTTCGTTCCAATAACTTTGTTTTCTCCGCAAACACAAGTATATACATATGTATTACCATACAAGTGACCATCAGTCCATCATGACACGTTGCGTGATTTCCACATTCCGATGTCAGGCCGTGTTTATGTGTAAGACCCCGCACACGTTTGCCACCGTGTGCACAAAGTTATATTGATAAAATTATATGGTAGAATATAATCTGTAGCAGTCACAAAAGTAAGTGTAATAATGAAACTAATAGTCTTAAATAAGTTATCCTTTTTGTTATTCTAGGTCCAGTGCAGCTGAGTCAGCGACGTACGCGCTACTCGGGGAATGCTGCAACTCCAGGGTGCGCGCGCGATACATGCTGCTCATGACCAGCGCGCTCATGCTCACGCCCACAATCTACTACAGTAAGTGACCTTATGTCTTTCAGTTCCACTAAGGCGCTTTGCAGACGACGGGGCGGGGCGGGCTTTTTGTCCGCGAAGCAATAAAAACCGCTTCCGCCCGTCGATGTCTGCGGCTGCCCTCGCCGCGTACACAAAGCACACGACGGGCAGAGGCAGTCAGTTCAGGACGTGCGTTCTACTGAATAGTCCATCACTAAAAAGTGCGTGGCGCGGAATGAGCTAGCCGCCCCGCGCCGCCGTCTGCGTTACTGCATATAAACTGGTTTGTATGATCCACGGCGGGCAGCCGCGGACATGCCGCGCCGCCGCTGCCCGCCGGGCACCCAAGGCGCGGTCTTTTTGCCCTCTATGTGCGTTTGTGGTATAGGATTCACTTTGTGCTCTCGTTCGCGGCGAAATTGACCGGCCCGCTCCGCCCCGCGCCGTCTGCAAAGCGCCTTACAGTCTTGTAAATGCTCTAAACCACAGAACACAGAAATACGTTAGAAGGGCCTTGTGGGCAGGGGCAGGTGTGCCACAGGTATGTGTGAGCAAATAAGCAAGTCGTTGTTCTCGGTTGTTAGCGCTGTTTGATGTCGCGTTGTTTTTGGCTATTATCTATTAGATGGAAGTGTAGTGGGGGTGGGCCGGTGACATCGGTTCCAGTAGTAACGCTCAATGTTCTATGATCGATGAGAGATTACAAGGGTTTCTAATCTCTTTCTGTGTTCAGCGCTCTAAACTTATAAGCTGCCGGGAGAGCTATGCTTCCTAGATTATAATTATGCTTTTATGGTAATACTAGCGGCCCGCCCTCGCTTCACTTCGGTGTAGAGCTGAAGTGTATACTACAGTTTTTGTTCTCAGGCTTGTATTATACACAATGGCATTCATCTATGATTCTTCTTATGCAAAGTCTCAGCCCGATCGGTTTAAAATTGACAAAGTTCCATACAAACTTTCATTCCCTATTTTATCCCCTTGGGGGTAGAATTGATCAAAATCTTTTCTTAGCGGATGCTTATGTCATTACATCTACCTGCATGTCAAATTTCAGCCTGATCCGTCCAGTGGTTTGGTCTGTGCGTTGATAGATCACTATGTCAGTCAGTCACTTTTGAGTTTTATATATATACACTTCTGGACACATCTATTGGCCCACCTTAGAGTTTAGGTTTCGATGGCACCTACCGAAATATGATTGCTAGATTGAACAAAAACTGTTGATGCAGTTTTAAACCTGATACATTTTACCATCTTTTTTGATCGTATTGTTTTAATTTGAATTCAGAATAGCATACGACATGGAGCTACGCCTAACAAGTCGGATATGCGCCTTGTTAGAGGCAATTGATTTTTGAATAAAAAACATGTTTTATCAAATAAAGGTTTAATTTAATAACGCGTGTTGCCTCCATGGGCATCTACCACAGCTCTCATACGATTAGGCATAGAGTTTATCAACCGCTCTATGAAATTTTCAGGGATCATCTCCCATTCCTCTTCTATGGCAGTTTTCAACTCCTGCATCGTCTGGGCAACTGGCTGACAAGCCCTAACACGTCTTTTTAGCTCGTCCCACGTGTGCTCAATGGGGTTCATGTCTGGGCTTCTGGCTGGCCAGTCCATTACTGTGATGTTCACTTCCCGAAGATATTCCCTGACGATGCCGGCCGGCATGGGCTCTTGCATTATCATGCATAAAAAGGAAATTTGGGCCCACATAGTCCGCGTATGGTATCACATGAGGTTCTAAGCACTCACGAATGTACCTTTCAGCATTTAATGTTGGCAGCCGTGATCCTGTAACAACCTCAAGTTGAGTTTTGCCGCTCGCGGATATACCGCCCCAGACAGTCCATGAGCCACCGCCATAAGCAACCCTCTCTTCAAAGCAGCATTATGCGAAACGCTCTCCCTTACGTCGGTAGACCTTCTTCCTTCCATCATTGCCATGCAACACAATTTTAGACTCATCAGAAAAGAGTACACGGCTCCAATCTTGCTGTGTCCAATTTAAATGACTGCGTGCGAAATGAAGGCGCGTTGTTCGGTGGGCTCGCGTTAGTTTGGGCCCATTAGCTGGCTTGTGTGGTACCATATCGCGTTCTTTTAACCTTCTCCGAACAGTTCAAGCGCTCACAGATACTCCGTGGAAGTCGCGAATTTGTTTTTGTATCTCAATGGAGGTAAGGTGACGATTTCTCAAGATGGTCGTCACGATGAATCAATCCTGCCTTTCAGTTGTGACCCGAGATCGTGGCCTTCCTTGGCGACGAACAAAGCCGCCAGTCTCTAGGTACCTCCGATAAACATTTCGGACCGCAGATCGACTGAAATTAAGTTGAGCACTCACGTTTCTTTGGCTGTGTCCGGCCTGAATAAGTGCCACAGCTTGGGCGGCGACTTCAGGTGAAGTGTCCATAGATTATTGATAGAACCTCACCTTAATGTTAAGAATAAGTAATGTTTGTTGCAAAACCAAAGATATCAATCACTTTTTCAAGAATTAAATCCAAGTAAACCAATAAAACCAAGTTTTCTTAGTATTCGATTGTTTGATATCAACAAATAGGCTCCAAATTGTCTTTTGTTTCTTTAAATTCTGTGTTCGAAATTCAAAAAAAGACTATTGAATAAAAAATTGTGAATGTGTCAGGTCCAAAACTGCATAAAAACTTTTTGCTCGACCTAATATAAAATTTTAGCTAGGACCAAACGAAACTGAAAATACAACGTGGGCCAATAGATGTGTCCAGAAGTGTAGATAAGTTATTTACGGGATTATTACCATATTAGTGACCATGAAAGTTTAAAACAATATATATGCTTTTAGCTGTTACCGCCGTTTTGCTTACACTTCCTCTGCTGTAGTAACTTCTCTCTAGCTATATCATTGACACTGTAAAGGAACACTAACTATCTTTTTCTGTGAGACAAGTTTACTGATGGAAGTATTACACTACCTAGGTTACATTTAAAGTAAGAGAACAGACTCATATGCTCGGCCTTCGCCCTCGGAAACCTCAAGTTTGTACAAATATTTGTGTAGGACAGCGCTAATGAAGAAAATTGTTGTAGAAATGGCTCCTAAATTATATAATAAGTTACCTGACAGCATTAAATATTATAATACGAATACATTTAAAAAAATACTGACGAAATTTTTAGTGGATTTATTAATATATTGATTAATTTTAAAATTTTAAAAACTTATTGTTACCGATGACAACGAATAAATGATTTGATTGATTGATTGATTGATTGATACATGCTTTTCATTATCAGAGCGCACTTATAATCGCACTTACCCTCTATTACAGTTCGTGATCTTCTGTTCTGTATGCGACATATAACTGTTGGGAGAACTTCCAATCTTACATACTGTCTACCTTATGATAAATGTTCAGCAAAGTATATCAAAAAGTGAAACCTATTTTACTATTATAGATACCTATATATCTTTATTTTAAGCATTTAACTGCCTATTCCATCCATAGGGAAGGCTTGTGCCCCAGCAGTGGGGACATTAATAGGCTGATGATGATGATGATCTAACTGCTGGATGGTTAATTCTTAAGGCAATTTTACTAAAAAAAACCACTTTTTCTAATGAAACCTATCTATTTATATAAAACTCAAGGTGACTGACTGACATAGTGATCTATCAACGCACAGCCCAAACCACTGGACGGATCGGGCTGAAATTTGGCATGCAGGTAGATGTTATGACGTAGGCATCCGCTAAGAAAGGATTTTGATCAATTCTACCCCCAAGGGGATAAAGTAGGGAATGAAAGTTTGTATGAAACTTTGTCAATTTTAAACCGATCGGGCTGAGACTTGCATGCAGGTATAAGAAGAATCATAGATGAATGTCATTGTGTATAATACAAGCCTGAGAACAAAAACTGTAGTCTACACTTCAGCTCTACACCGAAGCGAAGCGAGGGCGGGCCGCTAGTTATTTTATAAAGCCGCGCCGTTGTCGAGTTTTAATTTTGGCACAGATTCCTTTGTGTGAGTTTCACTTGTTCGATTTTTTACAGTTTGGGGCTACCTCATAATGAAGCTGAACTTCTCCATTCCATTTCTGGGCATTGTGTTCCGTCCGTGGCGTCTGCTGACCTTGGTGATGGCTCTGCCCCTCGGGCTTGGAGCGCTGTTGCTGCATTTCTATTGTGAGAGTCCAAAGTTCCTGGTCAACGTGGGGAGGAAGGAAGAGGCCCTGTTGAACTTAAAGAAGATGTACGTTAAGAATGGGGGAGCTGGGCCGGAGTATCCTGTGAGTATGTTCAGAGCAATAAAAAGTCGGATTTGCGTTATAAAAGTTTTAGTCTTTTAAAGCACATACGGAGGAGCTCGATGGCGCAGGTGGTTAGCGGGTCCGGCTGCGATCGTTGTAGTTTAGCAACCTTCGTAGTGGTCGGTCATTGGATGGGTGACCAAAAATTTCTATCTCGAGTTCCTCCGTGCTTCGGAAGGCACGTTAAGCTGTTGGTCCCGGCTGCATCTGCAGTCGTTAGCACCCGCCAAACCGCACTGGGCCCGCGTGGTGGGTCATGGGCCATTTTCCCTATTCCATCCATAGGGAAGGCCTGTGCCCCAGCAGTCCCCACATTAAGAGGCTGATGATGATGATGAAGCACATACACTGTTTGTATATCTCTATATATAAATAAATGTTTTAAATAAGCGATTGCAACTAATTAGCTTACTTTTATTCTATGTTGATAAATATCTTCTATTTTTTTAAACAAGGCCGTACAAATTGAATTTTTGATTGTTAGGCCAGTTGGGAAGATATCTGGAATTCTCGATGAGGTATGGAAATTCTTACACCTGTACCACTTTCTTCTACGCCGTGTAGCCCTGGCAACCTTAAGCTTAGAAAGTAGAAGAAAGGTTAACTTTACCATATGTTCACTAAAAGTGGCAAAATTGTGGTCACACACAATAATAAAAAACATGGTTGCCTGTAAAGTCGGTTTTACGGGCGAAGATTTTACGTGACAACGTCTTTTTCTCGGTAGAATATTTATTGATATGAATATAATTAAATTGCACAATAGGAACAAGGAATTGAATGAAAATAAGAATTGCACAAATTTTAACTATAGAAATATATATAATACGTCAAAAAAACATATTACAATGCATTGTGCTTGTGAATACCATCGTAGCATGCAACCACGCTACGACGATTCGTAGCAAACTTGCTACACGGCTACGGGGTTCCAGCATGCTACGAGACTCATCGTAACGTTACCGAGCGTTACACTTTTTCATAAGTGACTCCCAGCCGCAACCTAATTTAAGACGTTGTCACGTCAAAAGTTTTGTTTTCATATGCATTTGAGAAAACCACCTTAGGATAGGCATAATAACTAATTAGCTCGCTATCGTAGGCGGTTACTATTGTTTTATATATATACTAGCGGACCCGACAGACGTTGTCCTGTCTACACGTCTTTGTGAATCTAAACCATTCTCAGATCCCCCCTTCAACACACACAAAAAATTTCATCAAAATCGGTCCAGTCGTTTAAGAGAAGTTCAGTGACATACACACTCACAGAAGAATTATATATATAAAGATATATATATATATATATTATATATATACTAGCTATTCCAGCGAACTTCGTACCGCCATAAAAAATAAGGGTTGGTGGTAGAAGGGTGAAAATTTAGGGTTGTATGTATTTTTTACCCGGCTGCGCAATGCAAGAGCGCGAAGCGCGACGCGCAGACAGGGTTATGTGTTTAACAGTCTATATATGTATGTTTGTTCCTTTGTGGCACACTAGAGACCAAACGCCTGGACCGATTTTGATGATTCATACATCAATCGATTCGTCTCAATCATGGGAGTGCTACTAAAGATATGATAGTTTTAAAAATTCAATATGAGGACAATTAGGCGCCATATTGTGACGAAGTAAAAAAATAAAGTTGACAAAATATGTCGAGTGGCGTATCACTGTCTAGATAATTGAAAATCATGTTTAGGTTTCTAAAGCCATTTTTCATTTTATATGATTGTTTAGGATCTACAACGCTTTAAAGTTGAATATTAACCACTTGCGCTTTTAATTTCAGTCTTACGTTTGTATGGATCTTTGTTACTCTTTCACCTAAAAAATATTGAATGGATTTTAATGAAACTTGACAGTAATATAGCTCATATATGATAATAACATATATATAATAATTTATGTAGTCATTGAGTGAATTGGCCAAAATATAAAGTGTTACATAAGACGGAAAAAAATCTCCCATCTGCGAGCCATTTTGGCCTGCACTGCAAAAACAACACTCTACATTACATTATGTATCTCTTAAATAGCTCTACAAAAAAGTCCGTGACACCATATATCTATTCTTAATGTGTAAGCCATTACCGCTAAAATAGTGAATCAAAACTAAAATATTATTTGATATCTATTTCCAAAATGCACATTTTGTATTAACAAATTATTATTTTTACAAAACAAATACTTTTATCGATTTTAATATTTAAAAACGATAAACTTTGCCTTTTACACAATGTCATTTCGACAAATATTTAAAAAGTTACAACGATGACAAAGTGATAGCGCGGTGTACTATGCAAGATTAGACTGCGGGAATGCTAAGAGAGAAAAAAAGGTGTTTATAAACGTAGATAAAACCTAGGCGAAGAAGAAAAAAATGGGATATTCGCAGTATCTGATCCTATACGAAGTACTTGCAATATAACTGTGACACAGTTCCTTCTTATTAAATGATGAAAAATAAATTATCATCATAGGTATTTCTATTGAATTTTAATGAAAAACTCAGAATTATACTGTTTTTATTTTTTTTGTAACGATATAAATAATAAATAATTCTAACACACACCAATTAGCCCAGCCCCAAAGTAATTACTGTAAGGATTGTGTTATGGGATACTAGGGTAACGGATAGAATATATATTCTGTACATATATATATATAGAAATACATATGAAACATCCATGACTGGAGTACAAATGCTCGTATTCATCACACAAATATCTGCCCCCACCGGGATTCGAACCCGGGACCTCTCGAGTCGGCGACAACATGAAACCCGGCGTACAAACCACTCGGCCACGGAGGTCCTCGATATTACTTAATGTTACAAAAAAGGTTTACTTAATATAATGACAAATAATCCATTTTTCGCTAGTAGGTACATACTTATTGGAATCCCTGTATTTATTAATCAGTTCGCGATAATATTGGTTTTGTAATTATAAACTATAATTCTGCAAAATTCAAAGTAAATAATATAGATTTTTATAGGTAAATCACCCCTTTCATCACCTATAAGTATTGCGATGTTGTAGCCAAGAACTAAGTTCTCTTACTGAAGTAACAAGACTACGGTATATACCGTCTTAAGATACTAACTAGGTAACTAAAAAGTGTGAAATAAAAAAGGTAAATTTAAAAAATCAAAAAACCCGACTGCTTAATTATACTTCAAATAAAAACTGAAAAGAGAAAAACAAGTCCAGTAGTCTATAATTCTGTTAATAAGGAACAAAGCTACTTCGGGACAGTCGGGACCCATTAGATATTCAAGAATACATAATATTTTTCAACAGTGGGTCCCGACTGTTAAAGTAGCTTTGTTCCTTATTAACAGAATTATAGACTACTGGACTTGTTTTTCTCTTTTCAGTTTTTATTTGAAGTATAATTAAGCAGTCGGGTTTTTTGATTTTTTAAATTTACCTTTTGTATGATGTATTTTATCTAAAATTTAAAAAAAAAATGGGGGGGGGTACCCTTAACATTTAGGGGGATGAAAAATACATTACATCCGATTTTCAGACCTACCCAATATGCACATAAAATCGTTCGAGCCGTTTCGGAGTAGTTTAACCACAAACACCGCGACACGAGAAATGAAAAAATCATATGCAAACAATGAAACGGAAATGTCACGAGCGTTACACATTATATATATATATATATAGTCAGGCAGGTAAATGACCCCACTTGATGTTAAGTGGTGATAAAGTCCAAACGCGGAGATAGCTGGCACAGCAGTTATAAACTGCCACACCAACCATGTCGGCTTACCTTGCCGGCCTGCAAAAATGCTTCTTCACGCCTCTCTTAAAGGACCCCAGATAGTAGGAAGGAGAGAACACGTTCGCGGGCAAGGAATTCCACTTACGAATGGTACGACAAAGAAATGAGTCACCAACTCTCCATCCTGCGAAGCTCTGAATTAGACTGCAATAAATAAATAAATAAATATTTCCAACATTCACACCAATTAGCCTAGCCCCAAAGTAAGCACAGTAAGGCTTGTGTTATGGGATGCTAGGATAACGGATAGAATACATATACTGTACATATATAATTATGTTTATATAGAAATACATATTAAACATCCATGATTGGAGTACAAATGCTCGTATTCATCACACAAACATCTGCCCACACCGGGATTCAACCCGGGACCTCTCGAGAAACCCGGCGTACAAAGCCCTCGGCCACGGAGGTCATCTAATCAATCAATCAAAGTCAATGTTTCTGTTAAGAAGAGGTAACATGACTCGACTCCAATTCAGCCGCAAAATCCCTTAATTCGGACTTCTCGAGCTTTTTAATATGATCTTCCAGGTTCAAGATGTATATTTAGAAGAAGGCAATAAAGAAGATGTGGGCGTGTTCTCGCTACGTTCACTGTGGACCCAGATAGCTCCCCTGTTTAAGCCCCCGCTGCTATGGAGGACCCTGTTGCTGTATTACTTGACATTCGTCACTTACATCGCGTAAGTAGAAGGAGCAGTTCTTAATTATTTTTTTAATTAATTATAATCATTTTAGTAGCGCAACGAAAATAGGGTATTTGACAGTATTAAAAAAAAGTGACAATTGTTAGCATCTGTGTTTAGAATGAATATTGGTAGGGGTTTTTACTATTTTTACAAAAAAAAATATTCATAATTTGAATCCAATCCCAAGCGTTTTGAACATTCAAAACGCAAGTAAATTTCCGGTTAAAGTGACATTGCATTGTATCGTTTGACGTTCTAATTACAGTCGTGTGACGTCACACACTAGTAAGACGCCATATTGTCCAGAAGAACATTTTCGCGGCAACTTGAAAATGGAGTTTTTGATTTGGTTATTTTTACTGAAATACACAACAGAATGATTTACATTCACTTTTTACGGAAACATTAGTCAATAACGTGAGATCGTTTTATAAAACTTGTCAAATACCCTATTCTGTCTGGTTTCTAGTTGCCCTGTTCAGGGCTATAGGTATGCCCTGCTATTTTATACGGCCCAACGGCCTATAGTTGAACAATCCTCTTCTCTTGAAGGGGCCAATGTTCTTTCTACAATTATCGTGGGCTCTACAGCATCGGTCCTCTTTCTTATCTGTGCTCAGTTCGTTGTAAGACTCGGCCAGTTGTCCAGCGCCGCAGGCTGGGTGAAATGAGCGGAGAGAAGTCCCACATACCTTCTTCTCGCTTCCCCGGTGGTTGAAGGATGCGTAAGGCATTTCTCAGACACAAAAATAGGCAGCTTTACTTACTTTTAATGACTGAACGAATATTCTGGGTATCTAGAAGGTAAAGAGATTTTTAAATAAGCGTTTTATAGTAAGTAGCAACCTGGACTATTTACTACAGCAGGAAGGCAGTGATTGGCATTTGTTTTTGAGATGCAGCAACTCACTTGATCTTTAATTTAAGTGGAGATCAGTCGCGAATACAGCTGATGCATCAAGAGAAGGTGCACATACACCTTACTGACATGGACACAATGCTCTACACCTCCTAAAGACAACAACAGTTTTTTTTAAATAAAAGTAGTTTTCAGGTCTGCATCGTCAGAATAATGTTTTTTTTATTTACTTTGTCTAACTACCTTCGAAAGACTTTTATTGAGCGTAACGTAGGGTAGTGACCCGAACTACCGTATACTACCACCTTGTAGTGGTGGTAGTTTATGGTAGTTAGGGTCAAATAAATAAACTCAAAATTACAAAAAGAATTTTAAATAAAGTACTTTATTAACTAAATTAACTAATAAATTCATACATAGACAATAAAGGTTTAAAAATCTACCAATGAAATATCCGAACGCTCAACAAAAGTCTTTCGAAGGTAGCTCGACAAAGTAAATAAAAAATCATTCTTCTGACGATGCAGACCTGAAAAGGCTGGGAAACGGCAATAAATAAATAAAGTTCGTGCATTATCCCGTTAAAAACTAGTTTTATTTAATGAGTGATGTGCGTGAAAATCTAAGAAACAAACAGGTTTTTTGTTATGGTCTTTTCTAAGGTTTTGGGCTGCGGTAACCCCATATAGGCGCTCCAACTTTGTCTTACCATCCTTTGTATCCAACCTCTCCTTACACTAAAAATAATTTATGATCGTTTGCAGGAATAACAGCTTCGCGATAATCTTGCCGACGATATTCAATGTGTTCTTCACGTCGTACGCCACCAGCGACGCTGATGCTGGCTTCTGTGACCTCTTCGCTGATGCCAACACTGCCTCCGCGGAGACTAATCAGGTACGTTTAAAAGTCTCTTCGGTGGTGTCGTGTGAGGCGGGTCGTTACGTTTCCTAAAATATGGTTGAGCGAAGCGATATGGTTGGTTCATGCGTCATGCTCGTGAACGGGTGCTGCCAGCGGAGATGAGTCTGCCCTAACTTCCTTGATATTGATGATGTTAATGTCTTGTTACAATTAATATAAATAACACTATTTGTATTGACACAGCAATCAAAATGCAGGTAAACAATTAATGTATATTCAATCATTATGTAATGAAAGGTGACTTCATAAATCATCTCTGAAGCCATTTTTTTTAACTTGACGATTCTGTCAAGTTGAATAGTCTGCCGTGGAATATTCCATTAATAATTTACAGAGGTTATTATTTGTTTCCAGACGGTGACGGTGGTGGAAGAGTGTCGGAACACCATCAACGACAACACGATATGGGCGGGCTGCGCTCATGGTTTCTCCTTTTTCTTGCTCAACGCTCTCATCTCACAGTGTGCAGGCAAGAGAAAGGTGATGTCACCAATTACAAAGAACCGTAGATCGTATGATTGTTGCAACAAATTAAAGAGGAGCTTGATAACTTAGTGGTTAACGCGTTGAGATAGCGAGCATGGATGATACCCAACATCTGTAATGGCTAGTCATAAAATGGGTAATCACCTTTTTTTTATCACGTGCTCCTTCGAGTTTCTAAGGCGCGATAAGCCGTTGGTCCTGGTTGCATTTGTTAGCACCCGCCAATCTTCACTAGACAGGCATAGTGGATCATGGACCATTCTCCCTATGCCATACAAAGGCAAGGCCTGTACTTCAGCAGAAAAGACATTAATAGTCTGACGATGACGTGTATTTTAAAACTTCAAAAACTTGACTGTTAGAAATAGTAGCACTGCTGATCTTCCATTTTACCGTAGATGCTGATAATAGTGGTCCTGAAAATGGCGACAGCAGTCATGGCCTACCCTTTGTCATTCATAGGGAAAGCATGTGTCCCAACACTGAGGACATTAATAGCCTGATGATAATGATATGTATTTTATCTATTCCGCAACACAATAATCATACAATAACTTGACTTAACGCATGACTATATATAGGCGCGATTCACAAGCGTTTCGTACTCCATTGCGCGATCACGAGGCTGAGTAAGAACATCCAGAACACAGATTAATGGTCATTAGGACGCGCTGGAAAACACCTGTAAAGTGCCTCATCTGGACTAGCTCTTAGCTAGAATACCACTACAGATACTCCATCTTACCGCAGACGATGATGATAGTGATCCTAATGGTAGCAGCAGCGGTGATGGCCTATTCTCTCTATACCATCCATAGACTGATAACGTCGATAATGATATGTATCATGACAATTCCAAACTGCAATAACTTGACAGTTAGTGCCTGCCTAGCGCGTATAATCATCTGGACTAGCTCTTAGCGAGAATATCTCTAAAGATCGCTCATCTTACCACAGATGGTGATGATAGTGATCGTAATGGTAGCAGCAGCGGTGATGGCCTGTTCTCTCTATACCATCCATAGACTGATAACTATGATAATGATATGTATCATGACAATTCCAAACTGCAATAACTTGACAGTTAGTGCCTGCCTAGCGCGTGTAATCATCTGGACTAGCTCTTAGCGAGAATAGCTCTAAAGATCACTCATCTTACCACAGATGCTGATGATAGTGATCCTGGTGGTGGCGGCGGCAGCGGCGGTGGGCATCGACAACACCGGCGAGCCCATCTCCGGGCTGGTGCTGTTCTACGTGTACCTCACCACGGCGATGGTGTTCGGCGTCATATCCTCCTACTTCGTTGACTTGTTCCCCACGTCTTATAGGTATTTAGTTTTAGTCTGTTATACATTTCCTAGGTAAATAATTGATGGTGTATTATGAAATATTTGAAGGTAAGTTTTAAGTCACAATTCTCCTACTCCGTAATTCGGAAGGCGCGCTAAGCCGTCGGTCCCGGCTGCATCTGCTAACGTTTACGCCCGCCAATCCATATTGTGCTTGCGTGGTGAATCATGGCCCCGAGTGGCCTGTTCCTATTTCATCCGTAGGGAAAGGCAGTGCCCTAACAGTGGGCATATTCTTATAATAGATTTAAGTGTGTTGAAACGAAGTCGCATCTGATGTTGCGCTACAAACGCAGACTCAATTAAGCTTATTTACTATTTACTCTCTACTTACTCATAAAACACAAAGGTTCGGCTAATGAGATCCTTGGTTTTTCCAATTTTTCTATATGGAGCTGAGACTTGGACACTCAAAACGAAAGATCGTCGCAAGATTGACGCTCTGGAAATGTGGTGTTGGAGACGTCTGCTACGCATTCCGTGGACCGCGCACCGTACCAACGTTTCAATCCTGAGGGAACTCAACATCAAAGAGAGATTATTGTCGAGTGTGCAGATACGAATCCTCAAATTCTTCGGGCATATTACTCGCAATGAGAACTCCATGGAACGGTTGGTGGTGCAAGGGAAAGTTGAGGGCAAAAGGTCTCGCGGGCGCTCTCCAACAAGGTGGACAGAACTTATTAAATCAGGGACGCACTCTAGCGTAAATGATTGTTCTCGCTCTGCAAAGCATCGAGCTGCATCGCGATTGCATCAGTGGCACGAGAATCGACCGAGACATGACCCCGACCACTCTGTCAAGAGTGCACGACTAGGAAGAAGAAGATCCCAGGAAACAATGGCGACATTTGAAAGAAGAATTTAGATGATGATGTTGTTCTCAGGGGCATGGTGGCGTGCCTGGGCATGATGGTGGCGCGGTTGAGCGCATTCGCGGGCACCAACGTAGTGGGGCGCGCCATGACCACGCAGTGCTCCGCCGCGCTGTATGGCGCCGCTGGATTGGTGCTCAGTAAGTCTTTCCCTTACCTCAATCCGGCAAGGGAACGGGTGTGAAGGAATATTTTATTTTAACATCAAAATCTTACTTGTTACGTTTTTGAATTCAAACAAGAATCCACTTGAAAGTTGAAAAACGACACAATCGCAAAATTCAATAAAATTAAAAAAAAAATATATATATATAAATTAATTAAATTCAAATTATTATTTTATTTTAATTAAATTAAATTTTGATTAATAAATGAAATTTTAATAAATAATTTAATTGGTTATAGAAAATTTCTTACCAAAAAAAAATCGATTTGCGTAGTCTAATTCTAAGACTGTATTGTGCCAAAACGATGATTTAGGTTTTTAAACTCTTAAATTAAGCAGATTCTTATTTTATTGCATGCAAAGTTATTCACGGAACGCATTGCTCTTAGCGATAAAACAATACGGGGTTAGCATATTAGGTTTAATATTTCTTTCTTATGATTTCATACACACCTTTTTTTTTATAGTTAGGAAAATGCGTTACGCATACCCCGCCCCGGGTGAGTGGCGGGGTTATGTGGGACTCCTCCTCCCCCCAAATATCGCCCACACGCCCAGCCAGACTACCTGGCTCGGCGGCTGCTCGGAATGAGGGGGGGGGGGGGGGGCTACCCACTAAAAACCAACAGTGCTCCCTCGTCTGCCGAAACGGGTTTTGTGGGATCCGGATGACGCTCCACGTTACCCCGGCAGCAATTCCTCCTCCTCCTGGTGGTCAGGGGGATGCCCGGGATCACCTAGGCATCCCCCCTCGACGGGTGAGACTGTGCAATGCGAGCGACGGACTACCCTGTCCGCCGCCCGCAGTCCCACTAGGGTGGAAAGAGGCGGTCGTACCGCCGCCGCCTTCCCCCCGAACACACATACCACCTATTATATAAAACACAGTGGGTATATGATGCGTTTTTTAGGGTTCCGTAGTCCTGATAAGAAACCCTTATAATTTCGTCATCTCCATCTGTCTGTCCATTAACACTAGCGAGCTGTTACTTTTTGGAGATATGTTGTACTTCAATCACGCCGTTAAAATAGTAATATAAAAATATTGAAAAATATTTGTTTCTTAGGTTTTCACGCACATCACTCGTTAAATAAAACTAGTTTTTCACTGGTTAATGCACGAAACTTTATTTATTTATAAAGTTTCGTGCATTAACCTCTTAACTAGTTTTATTTATATTGAAATATGTTTATTCTAAGGGTTGTTTTTTTTCTTCATCTACCCCCATCGTGTGGGATATCGTTGAAAAGGGTTTCCAAGACTATAGTTAGATTTAGGCATCCGTTTGCGAAATATTGAACTTTAAAGTGCTGATTTTTGTTCGAGTAGGAAAAAAAAATATTTTTATTATTGTTTGTTAGCTTTCAAAAGTAACTGTCGTTCAACTTTGGTTAAAGAAAATTTCTCATCTATTGAAAATTCCTTAGAGGGAAACATTAATAGTGACACGGATAAAGTTATTGTAGCGTTAAAAATTGCATTAAAACTTAAAACAAAATCTAAAAGAAATCTTTTTAAAATCCACAATTAAATAATATTAGTTCCACAACGCTTCCGCGAGCTACGCAACGGCGGTCTGACTCACGCTAACGTTAAGTTTTTATAAAAAGTATATAAGCACTTGAAATGATCGTCGGTTATACCTCATCCTTCCGTTCTCAGGGAATGATTTTTTTTTTGGGGCATACGAGTTGACGGCTCATCTGATGGTAAGTGATCACCGTCGCCCATGGACACTTGCAACACCAGGAGTATCACAAATGCGATGCCGGCCTTTAAGGAAGGAGTACGCTCTTTTTTTGAAGGTTCTTGGGTCGTATTGGTCCGGAAACACTGCTGGCGACAACATATTCCACAGTTTTGTCGTACGTGGTAAAAAATTTCGACAAAAACGCACGGTTGTGGATAACCCCGCATCAAGATGATGGGGATGAAATTTTAATCGCTTCCGATGAAGCTTTAAGTAAGAGTCTGACATAACCTTGCAGCCGGCTGTAGGGTTTCTAGGAGGATTTCTTACCCGCTCCCCCGCCTGGGAGGAACCTAAAAAAATCGACGGTTTTGCGTAAAATAAAACAATAATAATATCGAATTGATATAGAGTTTGAGACGCAGTTTGACTTGGATTTAGGTATTTTAGTTGAGATACATAGATTGATATTAATTGGTTTTTCTAATTTCCGATATAAAAAATTAAGACTCCTGCTCAAATATATTGTGGTAACTACAGGCAACTCCGGAACCCTCACTGCGTATGGCACGACACGCACTTGGCCGGTTTTTAATAAGTACTTTACTAGATTATACCTTGGTTTGGTTATAGACAATACATTCAACTGGGGCCCTCAAGTTGAACGTGTCTGTGACAAGATTAAGAGCATTTCTTTCAAAATTAAGCATTATTAAAAAAAGGATGACATATAAAACTCGACTAACATTATATAACGCATTTGCACATTCTATTATTAATTACGGCCTATCTAGTTATGGTCGTACTTATAAGACCTAATTGGATAAGATTCATAATCTACAAGTAAGAATATTGAAAAGAGTTATCTCGCCCAATGTAAAACAACAATGAAAATGAAATGAAATGAAATGAAATGAAATGAAATGAAAAGTCATTTATTCAGTCTAGGCTGTTACAAGCACTTGTGAAGGTCAAGAAGCTACGCCATCGGTTCGCAAAACTACGGCGGGAGACCTTGTACTGAGAAGAACCGGCAAGAAACTCAGCAAGGGCTGCTTTTTTCTCCCTGTATTGATATATACAGAGTCGTCAAGTTGAAAAATGATTTCAGAGATACATCTGAAGTCACCTTCCATTACATTATTAAGGATATAGATATATAGTTACAATAAATTTTATATTTAGTATATAGGAAGCGGCATTAGATAGGTACCATATTACTGTTTCAAAAACTGACTCATACCCATCAAATAACAAATTACAAGAAACACTATGTCCATGCATTTCGATCATTTAGATAATCATTAACTTTATAATAGCCCTTATTCATAAGAGTATTCTTAATCTGAGATTTAAATTTGGTTAGTGGAAGCTCAATCAGATCTTGGGGAACTTTGTTAAACAATGCAATACTACATCCCAGAAATGAACCTCTTGATTTTTGGAGTCTGAAACATGGAACGGCAAGTTTGTTATTATATCTCGTGTTAAAGTTATGGGTTTGACTTTTTTTTGTAAATGCGTCATAGTTTTTTCTTACATATACTAAATTTTCATAAATGTATTGCGATGCCAGTGTTAAAATATTAATTTCTTTAAATTTTTCTCTAAGAGATTCTCTTGCCTTTAAATTATATATGGCGCGAACAGCTCTCTTTTGCAGTACGAAAATACTTTCTATATTAGCAGCTGAGCCCCACAACAAAAGGCCATATGACATAACGCTATGAAAGTAACCAAAGTAAACCAATCTTGCCGTTTCCACATCAGTTAGAAGTCTTATTTTTTTAACAGCAAAAGCCGCAGAGCTCAGTCTACTTGATAAGGCATCAATATGAGGATCCCATTGCAAATGCGAGTCTAAAGTAATACCCAGAAACTTTGTAGAATCCACTAACTCTACAGGCTGGTCATTTATTTTTAAACTAGTATTAACCTGCCTCACATTAGGTAAAGTAAACTTAACACATTTTGTTTTACTAGAGTTTAGTTTTAAATTATTTACCGTAAACCAGTGAAGGACTTCAGAGAGAGCACAATTTACTTCGTCATAACAATCATTTCCTCTGCCAGCTTTAAACACTAAAGAGGTGTAATGAGCCTCAGACGAAAGGTTGTTATTTAAATATTGTAACGTACTGCCAGTTAGCGAACAGTCCACATTTCAACTTCTTAAGGAAGAATTCTTCAATACTTCTATTAAAAAACCCATTATTCACGATAAAGGTACCCGGGCGATCACTCGCGGCTTGCTAGCCACGACATCGGCAATCAACATCTACGGCAGACGCACTGTAGATTACTTGTTACCTCGTCTCATAAACAAAATGGATCCAGAATTTAGAGATTCGCTTAATGAAAAGTTATAAAACATAAACTTAAAATGTTGTTTTTAAATAATATTTTATGTGACAATGATGAATTATGATGTGCGGCGAACTGTGACGCATCATTCAAACTTTAGTGGTTTTTCGATGTGTTGTTCATGTAAAAATATATTGATTATGAATATTTAGAAATAAATTAAAAAAAAAAGATATCTAGAATTAAATTAAAAAAAAAAATAAAGAATCCGAAATGTAGAGGTATGTAGGTATTAAAATATTTAAAAAACGCATCTCAAACCCGTCGAAACAGTCTTTTATTTATGTTAGGTTTTAATCAGTAATCTTGTTTGAAAATAAAAGAGTGATATTTAATTTTTTCAGGTAGAACGTACGAAAGATGACAAATAATATGACCCGCTTGATGGTAATCGGCTGAGGATCATCACTAGGTCAAATCAGTCAGATCTAATAAGCTTTTTAATTAATATACTTTTTAAATCATCGAAATCGGTTTATTCGTTGCGATTTCATAACTAATTTTAAATTTAAACGGTAGCCAATATTCACTGAAACGTGTGACGTCACAGAGCTCGATCGCGAGTCACTCTTGTCGAACTTCAGCAGTGCTATTCCAAAAAATTTTCACTTCTGAGGACCAAGGTCCGTCCTAATGCGTGTCAGGAGTGCGATATACACGGCTGTAGCATACAGAGTTGAGCCCTAAAACTGTAGTCAACGAGAGAATGTTGCTGTTATTTCAATGGTGTCGATTCTAGCATGATTCTCTAAATCTAAACTTAAATTTCACAGCAGTATATCCTTGTCATTCTCTATACAGAATGAAAAGGAGAGACTGATGTTAAATTTAGTTTTAAGTTTAGAGGATCACGCCAGAATTGGCACCAATGTCGAGTTTTATAAGGAGCAGGTTAATCCCCTGAGGGGCAACAATGCAAGCGAGAAATCAATGCTCTCTATCTCTCTTTTTTTGTTTTGTTTTTTTTTAGTATTAGTATTCAATTAAAACATTGCTAAAATATATAGATTTAAATAACAGCATTTATTACATACTAGCAAACCAGTGAACCAAATGTTCACCAAAAAAAAAATGTATTTAATTAATTGAGAACTTCGGAGATTTTGTGTGGTTTCGTTTGAAATAGAAATCACGTGATTTCTCGAAAACCGGAAGTGCTACGTTACTCACATCTGGTTTGTAGTCTTATCAGACTATTCTTAACTTATAACTTAAACATTCTCTATATCTATCTCTAACGGTTTGGCCGCTGAAACAGCACCACGGACGGACGGACGGACTTGTCTAATAGATAAGAGATATTTTTTTCTCTCTTATTAAATTTGTTGTATTTTTGGAGTTTACTCCTTAAGAATCGATTTGCATATATAAGAGGCCCGGTATGAGAAAAGTGTGAAGAGTAAAATCTATCGATGGATGACATTAATGACCTCGTTACGTTTTTGTGCGCAACCTCATCTGCGCACCTTTCACTTTAGCCATGGCAACGGATAAAAAACATTAAGTTGTCACAAATGTCAATAAAATAGATAAAATCGGAGCAAAATTAATGAAAACAAATAAATAACAGAATATAGAGTAATGCCGGTAAGTGTCCAGCACTCTGGAATAGTGATTTTCAGTACAGATGGAATTATACATATTTACAAAATGATGACTAGTGTGTGATATTTTTGAAATTGTGTGTTTCCAGAAATACATAGTAAAATATATGATGAATATCGCTGATGTTAGATGATAAAATGTGTGACATGGAACCTATGATAGTCGAAACCATGGGACGATTCCTGAGGTATATCTACTTGTAACCGACTTCTTCGGACTTGATTTTGTTTTGTGTCTGTTCAAAGACAATCGTTTTTAGAGTGTAAACTCCGGTCGTGCGTCGGAGCTGACACACACAATTTTTATTTTATTTTGCAGGTGGTGCAATCGCAGCAGCGCTGCTACCCACAGGTGACCTGCAGACAACGTTGACCTGAAATGTACAAATTATGATTAATGTAATTATACTTAATGAAAATAAAAATTTAAATAAGCTTTAAATGTACTTTCGGCTTAGTTTTAAACAAGCATTGTGCGTGCGTAATATTTGTCCATTTGAAAATAGGATTTAGATGTAATAATAATGCGATTTAGCTATTTAGCAATTGTTCATGATGAATAATTAAAGTTGATAGTTTTTAATTGGCTTTTAAGTCTAATCTACGGGACCAAATGGGCATAGACAATGTAACAAAAATGCTTCAGAAAAGAATGTATTTTAAATTTTAATAAATCAACTCTTTTTTTTGTACGCATTTAGATCTTTGCGCTTCACTAAATCGTAATGAAAGATCTGAAGAAAAACATAACAAACAAAAGCAAATTTGTTTTCAAGGGCAATGAGGGTTTAGGAAAATTTACACCACCAGATATCGCTACTGTGACATGAGCTCTATTGTATGAAGTTTTTGGTGCAAATCAATGGAAAGAGCTTTTATATTGATTCATAGAATACGACGGCATAGGTGATTTAACGGATGAGTAGACCTTTCAACTCTGTGCTGCCACCTGGTGCCCGTCATTCCGGATAACCCTCATTCTTTTGTTTCACTTTGCCCCCAGAAGACTACACCGTTTCTTGAAATAAGGTGGGGTGGATTTAGTGTTGCCCAAATACAAGAACAAGACGAGACTTAGCAAGTCTTGGTCTAGGTCTTGCGCCAATACACCTGGTCTTGGTCTTGCGCTCCCAGTCTTGGTCTTGGTCTTGGTCTTGCAGCAAGAGTCTTGCAATTCTTGCAATTACCTATTAGACTATTGCTATATAATAAAGTTTACTTTAGATCTTAGAAAAACGTATTAGAATTGGAACATTGTGAGCTTGAATTAACATAGCTATAGAAAGACCAATCATAATCCTATATAATCAATATTATAATATATACTTACTAGAATAAATTATTATGACATCTACTACCTATCCTATAAAAATATAGCTATAACTGCAATAACTTCTTTTAAATGTTTAATATTTGAAAGGTTGAACATTGTAGGTTCCCTACAATGCGAAGAAAAGGCACTGCCTTGCGTCCTATCACGGCCCTAATAGGGTATTTGACAGTATTAAAAAAAGTGCCTATGGTTAGCATCTGTGTTTAGAATGAATATTGGTAGGAATTTTCACTATTTTTACAGAAAAAATATTCATAATTTTACTAAAAACCCACGAAAAAGATGATAGTTTTCTTATCTATTGTCACGTGACCCAAAACGCTTGGGATTGGCGAAGCCTTAAATGACGTCATATGCAAGTAAACTTCCGGTTAAAGTGACATTACATAGTATCGTTTGACGTTTAAATAACAGTCGTGTGACGTCGCACACCAGTGAGACGCCATATTGTCCAAAGAAACATTTTCGCGGCAACTTGTAAATGGAGTTTTTGATTTGGTTATTTTTACTGAAATACGCAACAGAATGATGAATATCTACTTTTTACGGACTTCATAAACATTAGTCAATAACGTGAGATCGATTTCTAAAACTTGTCAAATACCCTATTGTCCGTTCCAAATTTAATGGTTAGTATTTAATTTACTAAAGAAAATTCGTCACGAACAATTGGGGCCGCTGTAGCATAATGGTCAGTGCATCCGCCCGGATAGCGGTGCGGGTTCGAGTCCCGTCTGCTTCCTGATGAGCGCGGAATATTTTCTAGTAAAATTTTCTTATTCAATTTACGTAAAATGTGATCAATAAACAAAACATGAACACATTAAAGAGTTGTACTCCCTCGTAACGCCAAACAAAAGTCTAGTGCAGATAGAGCCTTGGCGGCTTACCATCCTAAAAGAACATCATGATTATCATCACCAGCCTATTGATGTTCCGTCTCCTAGGGCACTGGCCTTTCCTTGGGAACTTGGCCCGTGGCTTCGCATTAAGCAGAGTAGAAGGTATTCGCAGGATTTTTAGCGGATATTATGCCGTAAAGCGCCCGTAAGAGTTGCGGGGTCCTCGGTGGGCAGCCACTGGGAGGTTCGTAAGAATTGCGGGAGCCAGATGTGAGGTCCGTGCCTCGTAAAGGCGCAATCGTTTTTAGAGTGTAAACTCCGGTCGTGCGTCGGAGCTGACACACACAATTTTTATTTTATTTTGCAGGTGGTGCAATCGCAGCAGCGCTGCTACCCACAGGTGACCTGCAGACAACGTTGACCTGAAATGTACAAATTATGATTAATGTAATTATACTTAATGAAAATAAAAATTTAAATAAGCTTTAAATGTACTTTCGGCTTAGTTTTAAACAAGCATTGTGCGTGCGTAATATTTGTCCATTTGAAAATAGGATTTAGATGTAATAATAATGCGATTTAGCTATTTAGCAATTGTTCATGATGAATAATTAAAGTTGATAGTTTTTAATTGGCTTTTAAGTCTAATCTACGGGACCAAATGGGCATAGACAATGTAACAAAAATGCTTCAGAAAAGAATGTATTTTAAATTTTAATAAATCAACTCTTTTTTTTGTACGCATTTAGATCTTTGCGCTTCACTAAATCGTAATGAAAGATCTGAAGAAAAACATAACAAACAAAAGCAAATTTGTTTTCAAGGGCAATGAGGGTTTAGGAAAATTTACACCACCAGATATCGCTACTGTGACATGAGCTCTATTGTATGAAGTTTTTGGTGCAAATCAATGGAAAGAGCTTTTATATTGATTCATAGAATACGACGGCATAGGTGATTTAACGGATGAGTAGACCTTTCAACTCTGTGCTGCCACCTGGTGCCCGTCATTCCGGATAACCCTCATTCTTTTGTTTCACTTTGCCCCCAGAAGACTACACCGTTTCTTGAAATAAGGTGTGGTGGATTTAGTGTTGCCCAAATACAAGAACAAGACGAGACTTAGCAAGTCTTGGTCTAGGTCTTGCGCCAATACACCTGGTCTTGGTCTTGCGCTCCCAGTCTTGGTCTTGGTCTTGGTCTTGCAGCAAGAGTCTTGCAATTCTTGCAATTACCTATTAGACTATTGCTATATAATAAAGTTTACTTTAGATCTTAGAAAAACGTATTAGAATTGGAACATTGTGAGCTTGAATTAACATAGCTATAGAAAGACCAATCATAATCCTATATAATCAATATTATAATATATACTTACTAGAATAAATTATTATGACATCTACTACCTATCCTATAAAAATATAGCTATAACTGCAATAACTTCTTTTACATGTTTAATATTTGAAAGGTTGAACATTGTAGGTTCCCTACAATGCGAAGAAAAGGCACTGCCTTGCGTCCTATCACGGCCCTAATAGGGTATTTGACAGTATTAAAAAAAGTGCCTATGGTTAGCATCTGTGTTTAGAATGAATATTGGTAGGAATTTTCACTATTTTTACAGAAAAAATATTCATAATTTTACTAAAAACCCACGAAAAAGATGATAGTTTTCTTATCTATTGTCACGTGACCTAAAACGCTTGGGATTGGCGAAGCCTTAAATGACGTCATATGCAAGTAAACTTCCGGTTAAAGTGACATTACATAGTATCGTTTGACGTTTAAATAACAGTCGTGTGACGTCGCACACCAGTGAGACGCCATATTGTCCAAAGAAACATTTTCGCGGCAACTTGTAAATGGAGTTTTTGATTTGGTTATTTTTACTGAAATACGCAACAGAATGATGAATATCTACTTTTTACGGACTTCATAAACATTAGTCAATAACGTGAGATCGATTTCTAAAACTTGTCAAATACCCTATTGTCCGTTCCAAATTTAATGGTTAGTATTTAATTTACTAAAGAAAATTCGTCACGAACAATTGGGGCCGCTGTAGCATAATGGTCAGTGCATCCGCCCGGATAGCGGTGCGGGTTCGAGTCCCGTCTGCTTCCTGATGAGCGCGGAATATTTTCTAGTAAAATTTTCTTATTCAATTTACGTAAAATGTGATCAATAAACAAAACATGAACACATTAAAGAGTTGTACTCCCTCGTAACGCCAAACAAAAGTCTAGTGCAGATAGAGCCTTGGCGGCTTACCATCCTAAAAGAACATCATGATTATCATCACCAGCCTATTGATGTTCCGTCTCCTAGGGCACTGGCCTTTCCTTGGGAACTTGGCCCGTGGCTTCGCATTAAGCAGAGTAGAAGGTATTCGCAGGATTTTTAGCGGATATTATGCCGTAAAGCGCCCGTAAGAGTTGCGGGGTCCTCGGTGGGCAGCCACTGGGAGGTTCGTAAGAATTGCGGGAGCCAGATGTGAGGTCCGTGCCTCGTAAAGGCGCAGTTGTCTGTAAACAGCATTTTTTGCCTGCGTAACAAAAAAAAAAGGGAACTGGCCTTTCCTACGGATGGAATAGGGAGATTGGCGTGGCATGCACGATGCATGTCATGCCAAATGCGGATTGGTGGGTGCTAACGACTGCACATGCAGCCGGGGCCAACTGCTTAACGTGCCTTTCAAAGCACGGAAGAGCTAGATATATAAGTTTTTGGTCACCCATCCAATCTCATTGGAAAGTTACTTAACTTGCACAATCGCAGACTGAACGCGCTTACCAGACGTACCATCGAGTTCCTGTCCTAAAAACAATCTGACATTTTAGTAAGAGGTGGGGAAGATAAAATAGTTTGAAAATATTTTGTTGCCCTTCAATAGGTTTAGATACACACGAATACGTTGATGAGATATAGTTGTCTGACAGACAGATGAACAGACAAAGGTATTTTTTTCGTGTTTTTAATAAACTGGTTAGTGGCTAACCTTCAAGTTTGATCAGATTTGTGTCTAACTACTTACTTAATCAATTATGTTTAGATTTTTCTTTATCCAATTGACGTCGGTTCTAATATGTTCTGAAATTCATTTGGCTTAATAATACACTTGGCATAATCTAAACGATTATTTATAAGGCATATTTTTTGTAAATGCGTATAAATATTGTTTGGCTTATAAATCCGAATTCAGAAAGACATACTGTTAAGATGGCAGAATTTTATTAGGCATTAAAAAGTAAGCCAGTAAAATTATTATCAGAAATCTAAAAAATCTGAAAGGATTGGCCGATGCATCTGAGCTCCGAAGTTGGCTTGTATAAAAGTGTTTGCTGGTACTCGAACTCC